TGATTTTACAAATCTCATAAATGAAGAGAAGAATGAAGAAGGATTACACCGAGCACAACACAAATAACTCCAGAAAAAAGCAAATAAAACTTGGAAGGCAAATAAGCAACAAATGAAAGAGAAATTTTTTTTTTTCCTTAGTTGAAGCTTATTTTAGTAATGATATTAAATTTGGTAAGAAGTCGATTGATGAGGTTCTGAATGTCCAAGTTTGGTTCAAAATTTGATTAGTTCTAAGCAACTAATGATTAAAAAAAATAAAAAAGAAAAAGAAAAAAAGTTTATTTGGTCAAATTTTAAGATGATTGATGCATGATATATAACAAAAGGAATGAGATATTAATATTATCTTCAAAAATATCTGAAAACAAAATGTTCTTATGATTTTTCAAATTTCATAAATCAAGAGAAAAATAAAGAAGTGGTTACAGCCTGCACTACAAAAATAACTCCAGAAAAAACATATAAAATTCGAAAGGCAAATAAGCAACAAGTGAAAGAGAAACTTGAAATTTCAAACAGAACAAAGCGAAGAGCTCATACCATCAATGAGAGTGAAAGATACAAAGCTGCTACAAAATACAAAGGAAAGAGTAACCAAGATCACTGAGGAAATTTGAAGATCTTAAATCCTATTTTAGTAATCTGACAATTGATTCTGAATTTGATAAGAAGTTGATTGATGAGGTTTTGTATGTTATAAGTTTGGTTAGTTTGAGACAACTAATGAAAAAAAAAAAAAAAAATTATTTGGTCAATTTTTTAACAATATGGATGCATCATGTACAACAAAGAGAATAAGATATTAATATTATATTCAAAAATGTCTGAAAACAAAATGTTTCTTCATGGTTTTTCAGATCTCATAAATGAACAGAATAAGTAAGAAGTGGTTACACCATGTACTCCAAAAAAAAAAAAATGCACATAAAATTTGGAAGGCAAATAAACAAGAAGTGAAAAAGAAGCTTGAAATTTGAACAAAGTGAAGTGCTCCTACCATTAATGAGAGGAAGAAACAATGTTGCTACGAAATTCAAAAGAAATAGTAACTAAGATCATTGAGGAAATTTGAAAATAGTGGAGCCTATTTTAGTAATATGACAATTGATACCAAATTTGTTAAAGAATTGATTGATGAGGTTCTGTATATCCCAGGATTGGTTCAAATTTTGATTAGTTTGAGACAACTAATGAAAAAAAAAGTTATTTAGTCATTTTTGAAGATGATAGATGAATGATGATGTACAACAAAGGGAATAACATATTAATATTATTATCTTTAAAAATATCTGAAAACAAAATGTTTTCTCATGATTTTTCAAATCTCACAAATGAAGAGAAGAAAGAAGAAGTGGTCAAGTACACCATGCACTACAGAAATAACTCAAAAAAAAAAGCACATGCAATTCGAAAGGCAAATAAACAACAAATAAAAGAGAAATTTGTAATTTCAAACAAAACAAAACAAAGAGCTCCTACGATTAATGAGAGTGGAAGAAACAATGCTGCTACAAAATTCAAAGGAAAAGAGTAACTATTTTAGTAATTAATCTAACAATTGATACCAAATTTGGTAAGAAGTTGATTGATGAGGTTCTGTATGTTCCAGATTTGGTTTAGAATTTGATTAGTTTGAGATAAATAATGTATTAGATGATAAATGCATGATTTACAACAAAGGAAATAAGATAATACCATCTTCAAAAATGTTTGAAAAACAAAATATTTCCTCATGATTTTTCACATCTGAAAAAATTAAGAGTAAAATAACTCCACAAAAAACACATGAAATTCAAAAGGCAAATAAGCAACAAGTAAAAGACAAGCATAAAAATAAAATAAATAAAATAAAAAAGACAAGCATAAAATTTCAAATATAACAAAATGGAGAGCCATTACCAAAAAAAAAAAAAAAACAATGCTGCTACAAAATTCAAAGGAAAAGGATAAATATAATCACTGAGAAAATTTGAAGACCGTGAAGCCTATTTTAGTAATCTAACGGTCTGTATATTTAAGAAATATCACTATGTAACTTTTACATATATTCTCCATCTTTTCTATTATTTTAATACAATAGCCAACAAAGACTAACAAAAAAAAATTCTTAGTTACAAAATATTACCAGCAAAAAAATCATTTCCCAAATACGAATCAAAACTGGTTAATTTATATAACACCCAAAACAAATCATTGACACTCCCGTTTAACATACCCAATCATAAAATTGATCAATAGAGAAGGATGAACAAAATTGAGAAATCAAAGTTGGCAAAACATCAAATCCAGCATCACACGCAACCAATCTCCAGTATATTAGTTCTCCCAAAAACCCACTTCCCAATTTCAACCAAAAATTGTTCTTAGGCTTCTCCAACATCTATGTATATAATTTAGGGTCAAAAAAAAAAAAAAAAATCACCTTAAGGGAGAGGGTTCGAGTATCGGTGAATGCATGTGTGTGTAAGTACCAACCAAGAAAAAAAAAATAAATAAATAAATAAATAGATAATAAGAAAAATAGATAATTGTAGTATAATAAGTACCAACCAAAAAAAAAATTAATTTCAAAGATTATAAGTAAATTTACGCAAATTTATGTCATCAAAGTATGAATTTTTTTTTCATAATTTACTTTAATAAGAAAAATAGATAATTGTAGTATAATTCAATAAAGAATGGTATTATGGTTATTTAATACAAAATAGTTAGGGCATGGAAGTATTTTGCAATAAAATGTAATAGTATTGTGCATAAAATATATTTTAAGAGGTTATCGGTAAATTGTGACATTGTTGAAGGAGTTTTTTTTTTCTTTTTTCTTTTTTCCTGCACGTTACCTATATTTTATATATGTATTTGTGTTTGTCAGTACTAGGAATCCAATTAGGGCGGGTTTGAGGTATAACTTGAGCTGAACTCACCATATGGAATGTTAAATCAATGCCTAACCCAATCCTATCTTCAATCTTAACTACTCAACCCAAGCCCAACTCATTCTTCTATTTTTAAATTCGAACTTACAACTTGGGCTTAGATTCCATGTTCAAAATTGGGATAAATTTGAGCTACTCATGTAGCTAATCTTCATATCAAAAATTTATATGATCTAAAATTAATTTTAAATTAAATTACTCTTAAAAAAAATTAAAGACATTTTTATAAATTTTGAATAAATTACAAATAAATTTTTAGAAAATTAATCGTCTTAAATGTTAATATAAAATAAGTTAAAATTTAACGAATGAAGTTGAAAAGAAAAAAAAGTAATCCTAATTAAATATATATGAAAATATTATTAGAATTTAGGTTCGGATTTGTTTGGATTGTTAATACGTCAATCCCAATTAAATCTAGATTGAGATTTTTCAAACTGCAGATTCAACCCCTTTGTAAAAATAATTGTCCAAACTTGAAAAAAAAAAATGGGACAAGTTCGAATTGGGTTCGGATTGCCCCAAGGGCCAGACTGTCTGTATTTTCGTCTGTTTGGTAATGATTGATGAAGTACAAAGATGTGAAGCTATATATTATTATATATTATATATAAAGGGAGGTAAAGACGAAACGGAAAAAAAAAACAAGAAGGTTCCAAGTGGGCTCTGCATCCTTTCCTGCAGAAGAAAATGGGTGACATTTGGTATAAGCAAGACACCACACAAAGGATATTTGGATTAATACGGGTTGCTTGTGTATTCATTCAACCACCAAATCATTTAAGAAAATAAATAAATAAAACAAAACAACAAACGAGTGGTTCCGCACATGCCTTCATTTTTTCATTTTAATTCATTCTAACTGAATTAAAATTGTAATTTTTTTATAATTTTAATTCTAAATTAATGTGCTCCCAATTACCTAACTACATACCCTTAAAATGCGGAACTTATATAAGGTTAGTTTAACGAATTCTTTTTTCTTATATCACTAAATTTATATTTTAAACTCACAACATTGTTGCGTAGATTATTGTCTTTGACAAAAATATATATATATATGTAACGTTTAATCCAATATACATGGGAGGAAGTACACCTATATATAGGCATCAACTAAAATGCATTACTTTTAACAAAACAAAAAAAAAAACTAAAATGCATTACAATGATTCAATTTCTAAAACCCTCCATCAAAATATCCACATATTTATGTACTCTCTGGAATCTTTTTCAATTTACCAACTTTTACAAATTTTCAATTAACTAGAATCCTCAATATTTACATAACAGTGCATACTTCCTTATTATTTCTAGTATTTTATATTATTGAAATAAAAATATATTAGGCATAAGAAAAAGAAAAATAATATATGTGGTCAAATTTTTAATGTTGAAATTTTAAACAAAAAATAAAAAAAAAAACACACACACATGTATGTGTATATATATATAATATTCGTATTTGTATTTTTCCATTTTTATTTTTTATGCCGAAAATTTAACGTTTTTTAAAGAAGAAAAGCAAATTATATCCATACTATTTCATCTTAATCAAATCAATAACCTAAAATTAAAATTGCAAATTTTCTCAAATTTCAATTTCAAATCAAACAATTGACCTATCTTGAGGTTAGTTTCTTGTAACAAATTCTTCTCATCCTATTTCACCAAAATTTAAATTTAAATTTAAAATATTAAAGTTACGTCTTTTTAGTTAAAATAATATAATTTTCACCAAGAGTACAAAATTGATAAATGAAAACTACAACGAATATGTCCATATCATGTTTATCGGCAACAAATCGGTACTTTAAATTTGAAATTAGAAAAAATTTAGTACAAATTTTAAACTAAATATTTTTTAATCCTTAATCTAAAACTGATTCGGTACTCTCAACATAAAATTTGGTTAAACAATATAAACTCTAATAACAGCCAGACTCCGCATGCTAAATTTTTTTAAAAAAGAAGCAAGCTACCATGGACCAACTACTATGGACAAAATTATCCATGGACAAAATTATCCATAATTACTATTTTACCATAACACACCAGAGGAGACACGCAACAATGAAAAGCATACTTATTTGTAAAGCAAACTTAAATATAGCCGGTCCCACCAGACAAAAGAGAGTATAAGAAGACGAACCCATAAATAAAGTCCCCATGTCAAATTCTTCTGTTCGTACATGATTGAGAGCGGTTGTTCGTACATGATTGAGAGCGGTACATGATTTGAAGTACAGAATCTGACTTGGGAGAGCATGAGCCATCTATTCATTTCCATTTTATGTTGTCTTCCGGCCTTTGCTTTGCATAATTAACCATTTTCAATCTTGACAAATTTCTCATCAAAGAGGATGGTAAGGGACATAGCCCAAAAAGCCCTTCATGTTGGTCACAACATCATTGCACCTTGTGAGAAGGCTTATCATCTGCGGTGCAATGTCTATGTTGGCTGCAATGGGTGCAGCCAAAGAGGTGGGTGTGTTAAAATTACGAGAAATCCCCGCCACTACTTCAGCATTATGCAAATTGTTTGGGACTAATTGAGAGCTAGAAAGATCAACATGCGGTGACGGTGATGGTGGTGGAATGATGTTTTGAAAATTCTTACTATTAAAATCCATTGCATGAGAAGAAGATGCACCATCAGGAAAAATACCATTGTTGTTCTTATTAGCAACCATCAATTGCTCACCCATATCAGTCAACATGAATTTTACACGAGATGTCCCCCTACTACCACCATTACTAGCTGGGACTGTGGCCGTCTCATCACCAGTAGATTTCTTCAGACATGACTTCAGCTGGACTGCTGGCTGTTGTCGAGGCTGATGTGCAGGTGCTGCCGGCAACCTTTGGTCGACTGCAGTCTCCTTTGACTGCAGGTTCTCCACAGAAGGGTCTTCTGTTCGGACTTTGCCAGATTCCGACTCAGGTGCTGGATCTTCCCTAAGGTGACATCTTATGTTCAAATTGCCAAATAAGGAATTATTTCCGCTAAGATGTTTGTATGCTGCCTGCGCATCAAGTTTGCGCAGGAACACAACACGACACGTTGAGGACTTGTAGAAAATACGAGTTCCTGAATGATCTAACGGCCCAAAACGAGCGAGCCTGGCCTTCAGCTCAGAACCAGATGGAAGGTTGGTATGGGGAGGGAACTTCATCACCAGCGTTGTGGGGTTTGCTGCCATTGCTGGAGGCTCCATTTTCTTAGCAGAATCTGCTTTGACTGGTTTTGTTGGTGTTGGAGCAACTCTCTCTTTTACAGTACCCTGTGGGGCTTCCTCAGTCTTTGGCGCTCCCTTCTTCTCTGCAGCTAATGTTTTTAAATCACTAATTTTCTTCAACCTCTTTGCAGCCATTCCTTCAAGACGGTCGGATGGGCTTCGTTTAAACCCACCTTTTGTCGGATCATCAGGCTTGTCAAGAGGTTTTGATGGTTTCAGAGATGGAAGATTGCTAATATTCTTACCCTGAGAATCATCAGAAACCCCATTACCAGTTGGGAACTTAACAGCATTATCTTCATTTGACTGAGTCACAAGGGCTGACAACGGGACTGAGCTTTTCTTATAAACAAGGGTCCGAAATCTCAGAACAATCTGCTGTATAAACGCATAATTGTTCTTCTCCACAGCATGGAAGGGGTTGAGAGCAAGAGATTGCAAACCACTCAGTAATTGCAGATGCTCGAGTTCAGAATTGACTGCCCTTGCCATTGGCTCCATCCTAGCAGAATCAGGCGACAACGAACTAGTGGCCTGATCAAATTTCTTGTGACAGTCAACCTGAGAGTCATCTACATGAGCCCAACCAACTTGGAGCACTTTTCCTGCTACTTTCCCAACCAGGGCGCCACTTTTTTCAATAGCTGCATGTTTCTGCATATTATCAGAACTCATTTCAGTGTCCAACTCTTTCTTTCTCTTCTTCTTCTTCTCAACTTCTACCGATTTTCCAGCTATTTTCCCCACCACTGCCCCACTTTTTTCAGTAGCTGCATGCTTCTGCATAAGATCAGATCTCATTTGGGTGTCCAACTCTTTCTTTCTCTTCTTCTTCATTTTCTCCCCTGGGGCAGATTTATCTGAACTCAATTCCCTAGTAGTATGTTTAAGAGCTTTGCCCTTCTTCACCCCCTTGTGACCATCATGAACTTGTTTCTGTCCATACAATTCTTTGGCTGTGGTAGGTAGACTTGGAGATTGCTGATAACCTTCGTCCAATTTAATCTTCTCTGAGTTCTCAGGATCATCTTTAAAGTTGATCATCCTCTCAACTTCAGGCTCAAAAGTGCGAGACAAATTATCTACTATGCCAGGGAATACCACTTTCCCAGAAACATTAGAAGCACCCACACTTGCAGGACCAGTTGTCAATCCCTTGCGTTCTACCATTTCTACCCTAGTGCCTTTCCCCTTATCAAGAGAAGACTTTGGGTCGAAGAGATAACTGCTGTAGGCTGGAGTATCATTCTCACCAATGGGAAAACTAGCAGCATTACTGGCAGAGGACTCCACCTTACTTGCATTTACCTGAGAACCAATCATGCTAAATTTAACAGCAGAAGATTTTTCCTCTAAAGTTTTAGTGCCTTGGACAGTTACATCCGTATGCAAAGCTGAAGCACCATCCCTACTGATTGTCCGAGTCTGTTTATGTTTACCTGGAATCTTGGACTTTCTAGAGACCAATGGAACACTCTTTTGCAACACACAATTTCCAGCTGCTGATGTTGAAGACCTCTCTGTAATAATGGGCTGGACGTAATTCTCAGCAGCAAGTGCTGAAGACCCCTCTCCATTAGTGGGGTGGACAGAGGAACTTGCTAGCCCAAGGTTGATTTGGTGTGTTTCCAACTCATCTCGTTCATCCCTTCGTTTAAAAAGATAATTGTCTTTCTTTCCTTGGTCCTTGAATTTTTTTGGTTTTGCGGATCTCTCCACCTTACCTAAAGCTTCTGCAATCACCTGTGGGCCACTAGGAGGAGCTGGCCAGTGACAACAAGACCATAAAATGAGAATGAAGACAGTACAGTGGTAGAAATGAATTGAATATGTCTTCTTATAAAACAAGCAATAAACTTTTAATAGTGAGATTTAAGAGAGAAAATTCCAGCTCAAGTTAAAAATGCATCAAGGACAATTAGAATAAGAGGCATACACACGAAGAAGGGGCTCTATAAGAATACAAGATCAACTCATCAGTATTGGAACCACATACGCAAGAGAAGAAAAATTTTAATCTAATATTTTGGTTCCATGCAAGCAGAAATCAAATGGATGCGAATAGCATAATTAGTTAGAAAAGATGGATCAAATTACAAAAGTAGCAACCAAATTTTAGGGTGCCTATACACACTATAACTTTAGAGTACAGCAACTAGGCTCTTTTACGTGAACTTACTGTTACAAGGTCTCATTTCTCCATTTGTAAATGTAATTGGATGTCAATTAATAGTCATTAGGCATGTAATTAGCCGGAAGTGTAGATTGCCTACTGTGAAGGATTGACATAATATATATTTTAAAACGTCTGAAACCATTTTTTATTCAAAATAGATAGCATAGCACTCTCGGGGAAAAAAAAAACGTATTTCCTTTCTTCTAATATGCTTCCAAAAGCCGGGAAAGGTCCTTTATAATGACAACAGCACTCGCACAATGCCTGTATAGACCAAACAACCCTCTTTCCACATCACTCCATCACTCTACCTCATACAAAAAAAAAAATGGAGCAAGGTTTTACAGGAACTATGTCAAAAAGTTGTCAAAATTGATATTTGCTTGTGGAATAAACCTGTTGTTCCTAAAACATCTTGTGGGCTAATTGGGTCCAATTAGATCTGATCAAGAATAGGAATTTTCGGAGTTTGAAGATTCCTTGCGACTGTTCTTGGAATTGGAGGAAGAATTTGAAGGTAAGAGATAAGTTTAGACTAAAAAAACAAGCATAAAATTGGTAATGGGCAGAGTACTTCCTTATGGAATGATTATTGGTTACTAATGAGGCCTATTGTGTCAAGAATAGGTACTTTAGTTACATATGATTCTGGGTTGGGGATAAATGCTACAGTTGCTGATATTACTGACAACAATCAGTGTGGAAAAGGCCTTTAAAAAAAACCTCAAAGCTCTTGGAACTAAGGGAGTCTATGAATTCTGATCTGGAGGAAGATAAGGTTGTTTGGTTGCCTACTAATAATGAGTTTTCTATTAAATCAACTTGGGATGATATCAGAAATAAAAAATTTAAAGTTTTGTGGCATGATATTGTATGGTTTAAAGCCCTCATTCTTTGTGTGACAGACAGAAGACTGATGAGAGAGAACATCTTTACTTTCAATACAGTTATGCATATAGAATTTGTTCTTATATCAAAGTCAAATGATCGTTAGATTGGCCTAAAGGTGATTGGAGGTGTGTGGTAAATTGGGATATCCTAACTCCCAAAGGTAGATCCCTTGTTTTCTTAACAGGCAAGTCTTTGTGTGGATAGAAAGAAACCTGAGAATATTTAATTCCGAGTGTAATGAAATGCCTTTTCTCTTGAAGGTTTTAAAGAGAATCAGGTTAATAAATGGCTTATTAATAAATGGAATCTGAATGGGTTAGTTGTCTTTGTCTCCTCTTTTTTGTCCTATCTGTGGTATTTGGTGGTGGGACCTCTGTTAAGTATAATCCTTTCAATGGTTTTATTTGGTGTTCAATTTTTGTTCGGCTATGATTGGTATTTTGGGCCCAGCAGATTTCATTCCTACTGTGAGCTTCCCTGCTGTAATTTCTGCAATAGAAAGAGTAGATTATGCTCCTTTCCTGATTTGGTTGTGTGGTGTAGAAAGACTAGATTATGCTCCTTTCTTGATTTGGTTGTGTAATGTATTGGCTAGGGAGTAAAGTTCAGGGGTTTTGCTAGCAGTTTTATTGTTCATAGATCTTTTTTTGGCTGGGTTAGTTATATCTTTCTTTTATGTATTCTCTTTTCTTTTGAGAGGATGGTTCTCTGTTTTTGTTTCATGTAATAGGGGGTATGCATCCTTTCTTCTTGTACATGATGGTTTTGTGCAATGAAAAACCTTACTTTTTAAAATTATTAAAATAAAATAAATAAGGGACTCCCAATGGATGGTTTCTTGACTTGGAATTACTTCACTCACATGAAACATCATTGCTCCAGTGGACCACCATTATACAAAGCAAGTTTGCTCAACTTGTGTGCATACATATTTGTTGCTTCCATTTGATGAGCGAATTACATACAGAAATTAGATTTCATAATGTATTTTTCATTTTTGTAATCATACTTCTGAAAGCCTTATAATTTTGATTTTCTGAACTAATTACAAGCGTCCAATTAGTGCAATAACACAGAAAGTCAGCTAATGATCACAAAAAAAGAAAAAGAAAAAGAAAAAAAATTGAACCAGGAACTAGAAATATGGTTGAAAACCTTTCTGCAATCTAATGCTTCAAACAAAATTCGAGTGATTCACATACACAACAATGGGAGTATTGGGATGTCGAAGATTGGGAGAATAGCTAGGGCAGAACGTAAGAGAAGGTCAGAGGCAGCATACGCATGTGACACACACACTCGTTCCACCAACTCCCTTGTCCGATGTGCTGAAAAACCACCCAATTTATAATCATTTTTTGCACGTGTCAACAGCTGGAGTACTATCCGTCATGCAAGTCTTTTTCCATTCTACCGTAGAGACTCAGAGAGAGAGTGCCACAACCACACCTATGGATTGTGACATTCACCCGTTTACTTACCTCGCTTTGCCTATCCCCTACCCAAGCACCAATGCCTCAACAAACCCGAATTTCCGCATATGACCATATCACACTCTCATTGTGGTCACAACACAGCCGCATGGTTCAAGTGATGTCAACACCATAACACTTTCATCCTTGGTGCATTAACAAGATATAATTGGGATAGTTGATATGTTAAAACAACCTATGCTAAAAAATTTACCATCTATCCTAAAATAGACAATAGCCATGCTTTGTTAGACTGGATTGCAACTATATAGTGATTGAACCAGGATCTTAGACCAGGTCTTAGGGCAACACTAACCTCCCACAAATTTCTTTCCTTGGAAGACATATTACTGCTCAGAACACACTCAGTTGCAATATTTGAAAGCAATGTCTCGAGCCCAATATTTACACTTGACTGAATTTCAGCGATTGTTAGAATGATCTCATTTTCGCCATATTTCTTGGACACGGGAAAAATGCACCACATTGAATATATTGAAGTATAATGATAGAAACTGTGTCAGACTAGTTCTACGTCTAATCATAGCTTTTTAACTTCTGCTCGCTACCTTTTAATTTTCCCTCGTCAAAATTCATCGAAAAAAATCGCGATCTTCCACATTAAATATTACCAAAAGAAATAAAATGATACAAACTGTATACCGTAACCCATATGCTAATTACTCCTTATACTCTACAAAAAATATATATATATTAACATTCAGTTCATATGCCAAACATTTATGGTCTAGAAAATGAGCAACTAAATAAAAACCACATCCACAGAGTTTCATAAGGTTACATGCAAGAGTCTCAAATGACTTCAAAGACAAATGAGAGAAACAAGCACAAGAAGCATAGATGTACTTCCTAAATTAGCTGGAGTGGCTTATTAGCTAAAGTAACAAAATATCCTCTACGGATCTGCTGTATATTTTTCACAATTTGATTGGCCAAACATGTAGACCAAACTAAGCCCATACCTACTGTATGCCAAGAGTTCTTATAACAAAAACCAGGAACAACTTAAACTAATACCAACCATTCATCCTTGAAGAAGCCTTTTATATGTCAATGCTCCTCCCATGATTGTGGCACCAAACCTCCACAAACCAATAGTAAAAACACTAGCGACAATAATGATGATGGAAAAAATAATTATGGTGGTGATGGTGATCATAATGATGATAATTAGAAAAATTGCATTATTACACCTGCATATACAGTATATACAATATATTGCATTTTAACTTAATTTAAAACATTAATTAAAAACAAAAACAACATTTTCTCTCTATCTTTCCTTTAACTTAACATTACTCCATGAAAAAAAGGAGACAAAAATAAAATAAATAATAAAAGAAGCTATTTAAAAGTAACTTATTTCTTCTCAATGATATTCAGGAAACAAATGGAGCCTATTCTCTTCATCATTCCACCAAACCTCAAAGATTGAATTACCTCCATTATACCTCAATTTTGGAACTTAATAAATAAATGTACCCCTAATACCCTACAGTACCTGGTAATAACATAATCTAATATCGAAAAGTAATATCAATAGTTAAAAAAATCAATGAAGAGATATGCAAGAAGCATAATGCACTTAGCACAATCTCATTACTCAGAGTCGTCTTTGTTGCTGTGTGTAAAGGTTCCTCTCAACATCAAGTGAAGAGAAGTCATGTCCTTGAGGATATGACTTATGAGGATATCCCTTTCCCAAACCTGAAGTCGATGATGTTTGATCTATTGGCGTAGAAATATGTAGCAAAAGGAAGGCATAACATTATTCAAAATTTAGCAAGAAGAAGTGTCTATAGCATCAAAAATAAACCAAGCAGCAGAACATTAATTTGATACCTTTATATGGCTCCTTAACAGGCTGTGCTGCCTCTTTCTGTCCATGAGAAGGTCGCACTGGTTGGGCTCCAAACGCCTGGGCATAAGTCTCGTCAAACTCCTCAAACACTGCCTTCCGGTACGAGATAACAGTAGCCTTATTTTTAATATAATCAATACTCAGAGGCTGATCAACTGTAGGCATCAATGCCAAATGCTTTATAAAAGCAAGAATATGTCTGGGCTGAAAACTGTTTCTAGCTTTTTTAATCTGATTTGCTGAGTAAACAGCTCCAGGCTCATAATCAACAACGTCAACAGAAAAGTACCCCTGAATACTTGTGGGCCAAAAATTGTATTTACTCCTGCACCGGCAAGCCAAGCCCAACCCACATCTCCGGCTTGCTTCATCTACTGCCTCTTCCACAGCCTTCACAAAGTTTTTTGAATTTAATTGCCTCGACTTCTCACCAAAATTAGGATCAAATGGGATAACCTCGGCCGGGTCAAACCACCCATAACTACTGTCACCAAAGAAAGCAACCAGTAAATGACCTGCTCTCTTAGTTCGACGAACTGAAGAACATGCAAAGGCTTCATTATATATATGGCCAGGCCACCATGGGTGCGATTTCACCTTTCCCCAAACCATATCACCTATTTCATATCCATACCGTAGCAGGGTTGATGGCCCAGACCTGACGGCTTTACCCTTCCCATTTGCAGCAAATTCATCAAACACTGAAAGCATCGGATCATACTGAGATAAATTTGGTTTCCCCACTTCAACATGTCCCTTTCTAAACCTAGACTCTGAATGCTCCATCTCACCATTCCGGGCATCAAATTTATGGTCAATCACACCAGAATTCACTTCTGTAAGGCCCTTTCCCCAGGAATTAACCCCATCTTCTTTTTTCCAATACTCAGATTGCTCAGACCCACCATCCTGATCACTGGATTGACTAGTACTTCCCCTTGGTGTCAAATTTTTGCTTTTTGTTTCACGAACTCTAGGTTTCATTTCCTCATTAATCCCTTTACAATCGATCACCTTACCCTTACACTTTCCCTTTCCATTTCCCCTAATTTCATCAGATGTTCCATTCTCCACAACGTCAACATCTCCACCCGAAACCCTAACATCAACATCACTCCCCCGATTCCGATCCCCATGCTCCGAGAAAACCCTTATTCCTCCAGACCCATCATCACCACCGTCAGCGACCTTATCGGAGTTATCAAACACAACAACTTGTAAAACCCTAATTTCTTCAGACTCAATTATATCCACACCCACGTTTCTACTAATACCTCCATTGAGGATTTCATCAGAGCTACTATCAACAACATCATCGACCACTGAAACCCTAGGTTCCGATCGATATTCCTGTTCGATTCCATCAGGTACTCGATCTAATCCGAAATCGTTGTTGTTCATCACTGATATCATATCGAGATAAAATTAATACAAAATAGTAGAAATCAAGAGATCGATAGTTCGGATATGGAAAAGACATACCTTTTGCAGAGGCTGGAGTTGATGGAGAACGAACGCGAGACACCTGATGAACTTTTCGCAAATATGCGAGAATCGGGGAGTAGAAACCCCCCAGTATCAGTGGGTGCTTGTGGTGTGTGAAGATAGATACGGAGAGAGAGAAGAGGGGGTTCTGATGAAAATAGGGCGGAGATGGAGAATGGATGCGGTACATGCGAATCTGTGTTCGGGAGCACGTAGTACTCGTACTAAATAACCAGACCCGAAAACAGGTAATCAATACGACACCGTATAAATACATCCGAATCGGTGTTACACGTGGCCGGGGTACCACGCGTAAGTAGCCCCGGTGTTGTATACTTTCACCCAGGGCAACCCATCCATTGGGTACCCGCTCCATTTAAAACGGCTTTAATATTCATTTAAGATAGGTTTCTTAAATCGGAATACTCAGTCTCCGTGTAAAACATTTTCTCAAAATTATTTTTTTAATTTTTTTGGTGTTTGGTAATTTTAAGTTCAAAGAAAATTTTTTATGAAGAAAAATGTAACGACAACATTTTTCTTCATTTCCTTTTTCTTAGATTTTTACATATATTTTTTTTTCGTTAATTTTTTCCTTTCTGAGTTCAGTTTTTTCGTCACTTAGTGTCGTTTCTGGTACTCTAAAATGATTTTCGAGACTCTTTTATTTGGATTGGTAACTTTATTTGAGGGCCGCGTCATTTCTACATTTTCATTTTTTCGACACTATTCATTTTTCGTCATTTTCCCTATTTTGTCTTTTTCCCGTTTGTCATTTTGTTGGCATAACCTCACTTTTGTGTTCGGAGTTGATTTTTGACTTCACGTATCTTCATTTTAAATGGTTTCCACGAAATACATATCTTTACTTTTGTAAAAAAGTACTCTGATTGCTCCGGTGCCCATATGGGCATGGATGCACAGTTCTTTAGAAACTTTTTCTTTTCTTGAGATATTTTTCATAAATATATTTTTGAAGATATTTTATTTCAGAGGTTTTTAAGAAAATATTTTTGGAAAATATTTTCATTCTGGGTCATTAATACAGTTAACCCTTTTTAGATGGGCCATTGTGTAATTAACGAAAGTTATTGCAAAATACCACGTTTTGAGCCTGGATCCTTGTACGGGATTCATTTTCACTTTTCGTCAAGTCTTGTACTCTTAGAATTGCTTTCTGATCGTTTTTCCCCAGTTGCAGGGTTTCCGGCCCTGGTTGTTACTGAACTTGTTCGGGGCATATTTCTTTGCTCGGGACTCGATTTTCGACGCCGTTTCTTCCTTTATTCATCTTTTCTCATTTCGGTTCTTTTTCATTCACGAAGTTTTGCCGTTTGAGCGTGTCTGCGCGAATTCCACTTTTCCAGTCCCAGTGGGGCCCTTTCGGAGCACTTTTTAGGTTTTACTATAAATAGAATGCTTTAAAGTGAAAAATCATTTTTTCACATTCTTCCTCCCTCTCTTGGCCAGATTCCATGGCAGCCCCTTGACTACCACATTCTCTCTCTTCTTTTGAGCTTTTTCCCTTTGTTAAAAAGTCGTAGTGCCCTTGTGTTTTATGTTTATTTTAACTACGCGCATCTTTTCCCTTATTAGAATCCGTTTTTGGCCATTTTTTTAGTTCGGGTTTGAGGTCAAGTTAGGATTTTGGTATGTCCTCTTTGGATTTTATCGTTCACCATGTTGTCCCCGACAAAATCCCGAAGTTTCGTCGGATTCGGAGCGGTTTCATTTTGGTGGCATTTGAGATTTTCATCTCAAATTGAGGTAGAGGATGTTATAGTTTATATTTTTGTTATCTTGCATGCTATTGATACTTATACAACTTTTATGCATACTTTTGTTCACAATCTATAATTTAATTTAATTATTTTCTATGTTTAAGATTTAATTCTCATAATGATATTCAACTTAGAATTAAATTGTGGCATGATAGAAATTTAGGCCTTGGTATAGTTGTTGACATATATTAAATTTGGATTATTTGAATAAGAATAGCAACTTTTATTTAATATTTTTCTTTTGGGAAAGATTAATTCATATAATTGTATCAAGCATGAAATTAACTTGTAATGTGATATTAAAGTAGGCCTAGGTGAGTTCTTTAACATATGTTAAATTGAGAGTATTTGGAGTTATTTAAAAATCTAGAGAAAATTAATTAATTAGTTAATTAAATTTATTCTAAGTGTTTTAATCACTTAATTGGTTATTTGATGTGATATATGTGATAACTATGTTATGTCCTTCAACATATATTAATTTGAGATTATTTGGAATTGATTTGGAATCTAGAGAATTTAATTATTTTTTATTTAATTAAATTCTATCTAATTGCTCCATAGATTTAATTATGTTTTGGAAGTTGTTTCTATGTTTAAATCATAGACTTTGACTTGTTGTACATTTACTTGGTTACATTTTGAGTATTGGATAACATTGTTGTTATATTTAGATTCATGAGTTTATGTTTTCAATATTGAGTAGCATTGTTATAGCGTGTAACAAATCGCACACTGAAGATTCGACATTTGTCATACCATAGTGGACTTAGAGCATGTATTGTATGTGTTTCCGAATTTGGTTGTGCGTGGTAGATAATTGATTATCTTGTATATACATGCTGATATATACATTGTTGCACAACTTGTTAAATTTTGAAACTTGGGGATATCGTTATTTGACTACGGCTAAGACATGATTCTAGTACGGGGGACTATCCCTCTATAGCCTAGTGCGCACATAAGGAGATTACCCGTGGGCTAGTAACCCTAAAGTAACTATAGTGTTGGTCTAATCCGGCGTGATGCCCAAGTATTCACCTTGTTTGATTTCACATTTCATTTCAAGTTGATAACTAGATGCTATCATAACTTCTTGTTCCTTATTTGATTTCCCATTTTGAGTTTCAAGATGTTAACTTTGAGAAATCATACTTTATGCGTTGTATTGGAAGTTCCAATGTTGGTTAAATTACATTGATATTGTGATTTAGGTTGTATTGTTCTAATGTGGCCTAGGATGATTCCTTAGACTCATTTGGGACATAAACGTTACGTAGCATGAACCATTTTAGTTGATTTCACATTTTAAATTTCAAGTTTATAACTTTGAGAATCTATATCTGGTTGTTTCGTATAACAAGCTTCTATGTTGTTGAATTGCATGAATGAGGTGATTTTTGCTAGAAACGATCTTGTAATGTTTCCAATTTTTGTCATTTTCTCATTTTTGGAATTTTCTGACTTTTCGAGGGCATTTTAGTCTTTTTACCTTTTTCGTACCGGACACTGTGGAGTGTGCCAGTTGTGATCGAGAATTGTTTGGGGCATTTCATTGAGTTCAGGACTCTTTGAAATGCATGGGTGATTATTTTTGTATTTTTTTATTTTTCGGGCCGGACGGACCAATGTGGGACCCACTACCAGAATTTTGATTTTAGTCGGGTCCATTTGCATCATATTTATTTTATTGTGTATTATGTGGATGCAAGTTAATATGTGTATATATGTATATGTGGTATAAAATGTGAATAAAAGAAAAAGAAAAATAAAATAAGAAATTGGTGGGACCCACCTTGGCCTTTAAAGTGAATTAGAGACCACATTTTGGTCTCATTTCTCACCATTTTCCCCTCACTCCACTCTTTCTCAAGCTTCCATTTTTCCTATTTTTTTTATTTCAAACTTCAAATCTTGATTCATCCCTCATCACTTGAAATTTTTGGAAGCCGTTTGCGACTATTCGAAGAGCACGACGAGGTCTACAATTTGGTCGGAGCCAATCTCCATTTGGCCACTAATTTGGGGGATCTATAAATCCTAGGGTTTGAGGTGAAATTAGAGATTTTTGCTTTATTGAAGGTAGGAGTTCCTAATTCATGAAATTATTGCTCCTTGTGAATATTTCTTTGTTAATTATAGCTAAGCATGCTTAATTTGAAAGGATTGCCTTTAAAATGATTTAGTTGTTGTATATGAAGCTCGTGATTATGTGTATAAGTTGATTTGTGTGAAATGCATGCTTAATTGTGATTAACTCTTGAATGATTTGTATATCTATGTGAAATTCTATGTGTAGAGGATATATGTGTAAGTGGTTTGTGGAATTGTTGTGAGAAGCATGCTTATGTGGATTTGTTTTCATATATTTTGTGCTTAACATGCTAAAATTTGTATTTGCTTGGAAGCATAATACATTGTTTGTGTTATTATAAAGCATATTAGGTGGTTAAGCTAAAATTAAAAGTATGATAATGAATATTGATATGGCATGAGATGGCATGATACATTTATGCATAAACATTGAGAAAAAATGGGAAAAGGATTTGAAAAGGAAAGAAAAAACGATTTTTTTGGTAAATGTTTTGAAAAGTGTTTGCGAAAACCCGGACGCCTAGGAGACGCCTAGTGGTCTGTGGTGTTAATGTAGTCTAGAAGGGAGTATGGTTGAGCTAACTAAGCTGAATGCGACGCTTTGGAGGTGCCTTGTAGTCGTGGATAGTTAGCTAACCCTCCATTCGTGACGCCTTAGAGGTGCTTTGGGTCGGATTACACTGACGGTTTGGATGTTGAAACGGAAATGTTTCAAAAAATGGGGAACGACATGAGTATGGCATTGCACTTCATTGGCATACATAGCGTGATTGTGACTTGGATTGTTTGTTGTTGATATTATGGTTATCTTTCTCCTCTGAGTTGTATGATCCCGTTCTCTTTACTCCATTCATTGTTTAGAATTCACGGAGTCACAAGTGGTATGTCTTAGGCGCCTCCTACTGAGCTTTATGCTCATTCCTTTATTATTAACATTTTTCAGGGCATGGCAAAGGAGTGGCGGACGACAATCCACCACCTGTTTAGTCGTGTTAACGGACTTGGGTTTTTGTACTCGATGTGTATTTTACTCCTATTTGTTGTATATTATATTGAGGAACATTTTGTATCACCTACATGGTTGGAAATGGTCTTAAGACCATCCATTTGTATTTTGTGGTTTCACCAGGATTTTAATATCCATGTAAGGCCTTAAGGCCACATTTTCGATGTATGACACTCTCGTTTAATTTTAATGATGTAACGGATTCATGTATAGCCTTATTGGATTTTTAATTATATATAGTTGTGTTGGTATCATCATGAAATGAAGATTTGGGATAGGTTTGGGCTTTGAGAAATGTCACTAAGGGACCAAAGGAGTGCCTAAGTACACAAAATCAAT